AAACTGAATCTGTATGTTATAAAAATAGTTTTCCCATATTGCTCATATTCGTATGGTTTTATTCATAATATTTTTTTGTGCTTTTCTCCTGTCAATGTATATTCGTTAATCTCCGAAATGACTGTTCCAATTTTAAACAAGTCTTTATCTTAAGGTTCCCGCGGGATAAAGGATATAAGGAAGGTTTAACGGTTACGGTTACGATTGTTTCGGTTTGGATGGTAGAGAAGGCCAAAACGAAACAGGGTCACTGTTATTAGTTATATTTTTTTAGACAACATATCATAATACTTTCTTAGTTTTATTTTAAAAAGATAACTTATCTTTTAACCAGCTTATATTATATTTTATAGTTTTATGTAATAATAATAATATAAAAATAATAATATTAAAATTTGATTTAACAATAGGTAACAAGTAGTATCAGAATTCTCATGCTCCGATGAACGATCACATTAATAATTGAACGTATACAAACGTATACAAAGTTTAGTTATGTTTACATAAAAAAATTGTTACATAATAATTCTATTTGAATTTTTACATAGAAAATAGAATTTTATCACACGATATTGTAGGTAAATTCTTAAGCAATATGAAGATGTAAGCTGGTTGGCACTCTACATAATTTCAATATCGCTCGACATAAGAATGAATGGACTACATGATTGCTTCCCACTTAAACCGGCCGCCTACTATAGGCCGCCCGCTAAGTGCAGAGTTCGTAACACACACACATTTCCCACTTGCTTAGTCGACCATCTCGGAAGATAGTTTCATCGCGCTCTAAGCTTTTGAGTGAGATGATCGTGTTTTATAATAGCGTTGCTTGAGCGTCTATTACGATAAGAAAAGTTTTATACTGACCCTCGCTGTTTAAAAATAAATTACAGACTATTCAGATGTTTTTTTTTATTCAGCACTTTTTTTAAACGTTCCACTACTGGGCACGAGCCTCCCTTCAATACGGGGGGGGATCAGGCCATAGTCCACCGCGCTGGCCAAGTGCGGGTTGGAAAAGAAAAAAAATGTCGATAGGAAACATATTCTAATACTTCCGTTTCTTTTCTTCTCCTCCGTTGTTCAAAAGTAATGAAAACATTTCTTAAAAATTCAATGATGTATTTTTCTTAATAATAATTCAGCTCTTTTTTAAAAAATGATTCTGCGAAGGTAATCAGACCACCACACTGGCCAAATGTGAAAAAGGCCAAAAAGGTTGGCGGTGGCGGTTGCCTCCACATATCTTCCAAAACCTAGTCACTAGTCACGTTCTCTCAAACGTGCAGGTTTCCTCACTTTAATTTCTTTCACCGCAAGCCATTGGTAATCATGTTGAAAGATATACCTCTACGAGTATAGGAGCATGCAAAAGCTAGTATATTATAAGATTTATTCGTTAATTAATATTCATTTAAGTATTTCACCAAAACCAAGAATTTATTGTGTCACACATTTCAAATGATTACCTAAATGATTAAAAACAAATTTTCATCAGGGCTCGTAATGGAGAAGGTTTATTATTCTTTTTCTAGACAAAGACAACACTCATATTGTTATACGGCAAATACAAAGGTGAAAAATTATAAAGTAAAATATTCTTCTCAATCTAAGACCTTCAAGGAACTAGAAATTTATTTTTCATTCTTTCATCCGAAACAACACGAGTATGTGTATATAATTCAAAACGGCCAATTGTTTGTTAATCAAAAGCAATTATGAATGTAATTTTTAACAAAATTATCAAAATTATTTCTTTTCAAATGCTTCTAGTATTATTTCACAATAATAATAAAAAATAGTTTTCTAATAATTACAGCTCGCAAAATTAAATCTTTATTTAAACCTAAAACTATAGTTACGAGTATTAGCAAAAATAGTTCAAAGGAGTCAAGGGCTTTTTGATAAAAACTCAACTGCATCATGATTAACTTTTAGTTCACTGTTGAAAATAGCCCTCTCCCAAGGTGTATCATAGAGTCCGATCAACAGCTCTACGCTCATTTTGTATTAGCCGCTATGTGCAGATTGTAGCATTTCTCTATTTCCAAAAGTATTATTATTATGATTCAATACGAATAACTCAGTCAAATACATCGACTTATTTAAATTAAATCATTTATCTAGTGCTAAGGAAGTTACGGGATCCTAATAACGAACCGTTACTATCCTTGCTCCATTTCTAATAAGTTTAGTGCGTGCGCGTAGTAGTTTGCCATTACTAACGTAGACAATTTTCCAAGTTTGTGTATGAAATTGCTTTTTCTAATAATAACACATCGAAATATATTACCGTGGACATTAAGTATGTTATGCTACTAACAAAGCTACGTATAATAGTGCAGATTTCCACATCATTGACCTCCAAGGAGCTAAATTCCAAGAATAAAGAGCTCACTGCTGTGTAAAGTAAATCGGTCTGGTACAAAACAGCTTTGAATTCGCTTTAAACGAGAAAATAGTGGCAAGTTGCGCCACTTTCCGCAAATATGACTAAAGAAATATAGATAGGTACAGCTTAGCTTCGTGACGAGGTCAACCCGAAGCGTATAATAAATATAAATAATAATTTACTTTTCGGTAAACAATGATAATAATCATTTAATCAGAATAGTCATTAATATGTGTCACACATCAGTCCTTAAGAACAAGCATTTCAAGTACCTAATGTTTATAATTTGTCTATTTCCACATTTGTTTTTATTTCCTTTAGTGGAATTCAATTTCATATATATGTCATCAAATATTTTACGCATCAGTTTAATGCTATTTTTCAAACACACCATAAGAGACTTCTAAAAATGGCTCATCTGTATTATTCCTATGTTTATAATTTTGTTTAAAATTCTCTATAAACTTACATACGTTATTAAATACCAAAATTTTGAAACGTTATGTAAACTGCGTGTATTTCATAATAATATATTATATATTTATATTCATGTGCAAACATAATCATTTATTTTATAAATCCTCAATTAGAGACCATTGATATATATCTCAATAACAATTGTAATCGGGCCTTTCAGACTATTGTTTTTATAATAAGAACCTAAACAAATTTCATCATTTTGTGAGGTTTAATTTACTAACGAATGCTCTATCTTTTACAATTGAATGATAAAAATAATCGTATAAAGATTTTTGTTTTTATCATTCTAAGAATACCATTTGTTGAAATTTAAAACTGGTTGAGTCAGTAATCTGGAAAATCGCTTCGCTTGTCATTAAGACGGAATTGTTCCGGGTTAAATAATTTTCGATTTCGATTCCATTTCGTTTAAATCAAAATGGTTTACATACTTTATAACCTATATGAAAATAATGTGTACAATATCAAATTAGCATATTTCAATCGAGTTCGTTAGTTAATCAACTGCAATTCAAATCCGAAGCTATGTGGCTTGATTGTGGTCTGCGATTTTTATAAACAAAATCAAAATAATTTAGTAATTATTGACGAAATTCGCCCACAAAATGTCGATAAAATCAACAAATATAACACACTAGGAAAACAAAATAAAACCTATCCAACAGAACCGTACATTTTTCCGGGATAAAAAGGTAAGGTTGCCTATGCACATAGGTAGCCTATACACAAGGTAGCCTATACACATTCCAGACTATAATCTATCTCTGTGCCAAATTTCATCCAGATCCGTTCAGCCGTTCTGGAGTGAAAGAGTAACAAACACCCATTCGGCGACACGTTTGGCTCAGTTTGTAGTGACAGTCAGTTGTACTTGCTGTACAAGTGGTCGCGGGTTCGAGTCCTGCTGGAGGTATTCATTGGTGTGACAAGCACGAATGTTTGTACTCCAGTCATGGGAGTTTATATTTATATCTGGTATCCATAACACAGGCCTCGTAGCTTACCATGGTACTAGATGGTGCTGTGTATTAATGTCCCAACATATTTATTTATTTATATATCCAGAAATCTCAGAAACTTTTACAATTATAATATTACTATAGATAAAAATTCGCGTAGCACATTATAATTGTCAGTAGATTAATGAAACAAGCTTCTAGAGGCTTCTCTGCTGCTGAGATAATAGTGAGGTTTTGCGTTTTACATAAAAACCTGAATAGGGAAGTCAAAAGCAGTAAATTACTTGGATGCATAAACCTGACAATTCTTCATAACAATCAGGATTCTCTGTATGCTGAGTACTTTGCTCTACCGTTTTAAAACTAACCTCATATACTCCGAATTTGTATTTATTATAATTTTATTTCAAAGGCTTTATTATCAAAACATATTTTAGAACTAAATTATTATGTTTCCAAATATAGTTAATTTTTTACTTTGTACCTCGATAAAATGATTTTAATAAATTAATTTACTGTAATTGCAATGGTTTTGAAATTTTATTTTAGGTATATATGCTACGAATAAATAGACTTATTATTTATATTATTTATTCGTAGTATATATTTTATTATATGCGACAGTAATTCATATTGTGTTTAAAATTTTCTTTTTTTAATTAGAAATATTAATTTTTTAAATAATTCTTAACAAGTGTTTTATTGCTGTGCTCGTAAAGAAATGAATTGTTGGTATAGTGGCTGCAGATCGTAAAGTCCTGGATTTGATAGCCAATCCAAAAAGATTTTTGGGCCACCAAAATTCAGTATTCAGTAGCGACCGAGAGTTAGGAAATACGCATCATGTACTGCCCTAATATGCAATTTCTCAATGGTCCTGCGCGTTATCTCCCACAGATCGCGTCGAATTGTCATTAAACAGGAATTTATAAATAAAAAGTATACAGTAGTGCGCCCGTGTCTATGCATACTCACCTGCACTATAACATATCCCACGGAGTTGGTTGGCAAAATCGAGCTCTTTATTATAAACAAGTCTATATTTGAGTACACAGTGAACCTTACTTCTGGAAAATAATAATATAATTTTGTTACTTAAAAATATCCATGTTTAAAAACCTTATATCTTTTCAGCTCGTGGACACACAGAGGTCAGAGTAGAACTTCAGATGGAAAGATGGGCTGCACGAGGAGGATCTGTAAGACTTCGTTGTGTTCACGATGTACCGCCTCACCTATTGGACAAGGTGGTCTTCCTTCGTCATGGTACCAAGATCTTCCAATACATTAGAGATAGAAAACCGCCGTATAGAAATTTTACAACACCAGGTGCCGTACTTAATGTAAGTGTAATATAGATCTTTAACTTTGTGCCGTGTCTCTAATACGATCATGGCATACTAATGTCGCTTCTTCTACTGACCCTATAATTTTACAGACTAATTAATTATTAATTAAATAACATTTATAACTTACAGTACATACAATTTGGAAATTATAAAACAAATGGTTGCATTGAAATATACTTATAGTAGTTAGTCTATATACCACCAGAAAAAAAACATTAACAGAAAATCTGAAATAAAGACGATAATTTTAGCTACTCTCTTCGAGCTACGCCTTTACTATGATCTTAAACTCCATGCCCCTAATCATAGCCCTAACTTTCTAAAAATCCTTCGCTACATCAATCGTGCAACCGTGGATCGAACCCTTCGACAGGTAAATAAATTTTCTAAAATCGATTCTTTTAAAATAATTTTTTATGGTATAATTAATTTACATATCGTATGTAGGTAGATACTACATGTATTTTTGTAGGCACTTAATACATATGTAGTTATAACTAGCATTGCCCGCGGTTCCGCCCGCGTTCAGATGACGAAAAACCAAATTCTTAAGTTTTACATATTAGTATACATTTACATTGCAGTTTTTGTATTTTTTCTCAAAAATGATATATTTTCCCGCGTTAAAAGTACCCTATATGTTGACCCGGATAACCAGCTATCACCGTACCAAATTTCATGGAAATCCCTTCAGTAGTTTTTCTGTGATGCGGTAACAAACAGACAAAAATTCTAAAAACTACAGATTCGGTCTCTGTATCGATAATAATGTTTATTTTAACAAGATTATCCAAAAAATATCCAATGTACAGATTCAGCTTAGTTACAATTTTATTATATGTATAGATAATATAGGTAATCTATCTGAAGTTTGACTGCGAGTAGTAAAGAGACATGCAAACGATGTGACGCAATACACATTGCGTGCTTTCTTTTAGGTGATTTAAATAAATGCGTAAATCGAAACTCCTAATTGTATCGCTTCATTGATATCTTTGTGATTGAGTCATCAAATTTTCGCCAGTTTAAAAAAGAGCCCACCAATGGTATACTACACTAGGTATATATAAATGATAAAAACCCATTTTTTTCTAGATGTATATAATCATTCATTCCAAGAAATAAAGCAGTTATCCCATAAAGCAATAAAATGTCCATAAAATTAGTAACAACGAACGAATAAATGTCATGAAATAAAAGCCAATCTAATGAACGCTAATACCTGACTAAATCCACATTGGAGCTGTATTCATGAAACATGCTTTTAATAATTCAAATAATTATATTTTCATTATTTAATACGACACATTTCTATGTAACACTCGTAATTTGCGGTTCAATTATATATGAATTAGTAGTAAAAGTAGATTACACTCGATAAGGATTTTGGTATATATTACTGTTTTTTTTACTCTATAAATAAAAAATATAATGATACTATTTGCTCTAAATTATTAATTTATTTTATGTCCTACTAGCGACTTACTCTCGTTTCGCTCGGGTGCGTCCCTACCCCCCCAACGTGCGTTCACCTTGTCGTGGTGGGGGGGCTCAGTAGTGCCCGGCAATACAGCCGGGCGCGAAGCCAAGAAACGCACAGGGAGGTGGCCCACTTCGGTGGGCGGTGGGAGGTGGCCCTCTTCGGAGGGCGGTGTACCATGCGAGTTGCTCCTGGTACTTCTCTGATAGCAGAGTGGACCTTGGAGCAACCCCGTAGTTGCTGTGGTCTGCTTCGGCAGACCTGCCGTCGGGGCGTCGTAGTTGAATGCGTAAGCGATCCTGCGACGCCCCATTAAGACGGAGGAAGGTTTTGTTGGGTTTAAGTGGGTACTACTGGCTTCGCCGGTGAGTCCCACACCTCGTGCGTAAATGCATTTCCCAACGTTAAAAAAAAAGGTGTGTCCCTAAGCATGAATGGTTTAGGAACGCATAGAGGACAAACATACGAACATTCATATTTATTTATATATATTTGTCGTTTCCTAAATACAAACGTATATTTAACAATGTCGTAGATTTAACAATGATATTAAAAATTCCTGTTGTTTCATGTTTGTTGGTTTATGTTTTTGATTACATTTTTAGTAAATATGGCTCCACCTATTATATATTTTACTGTTAAATTCTCAATCTCTTAACACAAGTGATTGTGTCAAGAGTCACTTACTACCTGTACTGACCTAGACTACTACTATATAAAAAATATCCCATTGGAATATCGTAGGAGATATTTTGAAATCTAACAAGAAAAGACTTTTTCCCTGTTAATTGTAAAAATATTACCAAGTAAAATATTCCCTTACACATTACTCGCCCCATTATAGTTTTACTATATATTTATAAAATAGACTAAGACTACGTTACTTTTTAAATAGATGATGGTAATTATGGCCATAGCGGTCAATCTCACTGAGACACTAGCCAACTTGGAGTTATTAGAGTGCACATTGCACAAGTCGACGCACAGACACTGGAGCGAGTTCTATTACTGCCACTCTCATACTCCGGTGGGACGATAATTCTGCACGACCGGTGAGAGATTAGGTGGATTATCGATTTTAGGTGTTCTCTGACTCACGAGGGTGTAATACCGCCAATTTTCCATTTCTGGGCTATTACTGAGAATAGAAGACTACTGAGAGAGAAATACTCAGTAATTAAACATAGTCCAACTTGGGACTCGAACCCAGAAAATCGGGGTCTGCTGCCGTACATGCTAGCAACTAGACCACAACAGCAATTAAGTAGATACTTGTTTTTCACCCTATTTTACGTCCCACTGCTTAGCACGGGCTTCGCATCGATACGAGAGGGATAAAGCCATAGTCCACCACGCTGGCCAAGTACAGGTTGGCGGACTTCACTTGTCTTTCGAAAACTTAGTAGATTCTCTCAGGCGTGCAGGTTTCTTTACGACATTTTCCTTTATCGTAAGACAATTGGTAATCATGTTAGAATTGATTCGCATAAGAAAATACCGGAGGTGCGAAACCTGGGATTTGAACACGATTCAAATGGTTTCCCAGGCCAGCGCGTTACCACTGGGGGTAATTGACTTAAGTAGATACTAGATACATAAAAATATACATAAATAAAGTAACTTCGTGATCATAAGTAATGTTCTTAGACCGTATAAAGAATGCTAGCGAAATGGTTGGGTGGACTTGGTAGTGGCGTCATTACGTGGCTACGAGCCGTAAACAAGAGCGTCGTCGGTAGCATGCCATAATTTTAGTCCTGAACCATACTACTAATGACTAAAACTGTGAGATAAGATCAAATGCTACTTCCCTGAAATTCTTGAAAATTAGCTATTCGTTTTATTTTAAATTTTTACTAGTACTTTTTAATAAAATTTGTACCTATATTGTAACATAATGTTTTTTTCTTTGATTAATACGTATATAGCGTGTGATAGTACTAGAATCATATTATTAGATAGATGTTGTTAATGTAAAAAAAATTAAAATCTTTCATAAATAGCTCAAAAAAATATATCCTATTATATACGAGTAAACTATATATTAATTACAATTCTTTTACACAGATTCGCGTGCAATCTGAAAATAAACGCAGCACGCCCGAGTCTATACTACTATATATATATAGTTTTAACAAGTTGAAAATAAAAATAGGCGGTTACATGAATAACAAACTTAATTTTACAAATACGTAAAAATCTCAATATTATTGTCAATAGATTTTGATGCTGAGATAGATGTGTTATTTACTTGCACTTCTTCAAGCGACTTGAATTATATACGTGTTGTATTGCTTTTATTAGTTACTAAATGTTGGTCAAACTTCTTTAAAATATGAATAAAATAAATTGAATGATTACGTATATTTAATAGCTTGTGTTTTGTTGTTTTCTTACACATAATAAATATATAAACTGACTAAAACATTTCCTTTTTCATAAATTCAGTTATCTACACCAACGCTAGCGCTACGTAGGTGGCAGGAATAATTAAGTGCTTCAAGAGTACTCACTACTCACGTTCAAGGAATGTTGCATTCTACATACTGCAGCGAGCCTACTCTACATGGAAAATATTATCTTACTCCACAATAATAATTTCATTTCACCCAACTCTACACTACACTGTCATTACGCGAGCGTCAGCCATAAACAAGGACACTAAATGAAGGAGCTACCACACTCCTACATTTTACGGTCTGTAAATAATGTTATATTTTACATCAACCTGTCCTTTTAATTACGTTTTTATTGACTTATTTTAAAAAGCTTCTATTTTTAACCCCCGACGCAAAAACGACGGGGTGTTATAAGTTTGACGTGTCTGCGTATGTGTGTGTCTGTCTATGGCATCGTAGCTCCCGAACGGATGAACCGATTTTGATTTTGTTTGTTTTTTGGTTTGAAAGGTGAATTAGTCGGCAGTGTTCTTAGCTATGTTTGATGAAGATCGGTACAAGATGGTAGGGATTTTTTAAAATTGTTAATTTATAACTTTTGAGTATTGTAGAGCACTACGATATATTTCTTTTCAAACTATGATTTCATTTTTATTGAATGTCTCAAGGATGTCATACTACCTTTCACAACGTTTAAAAATTTGTTTTTGTTGTAAAAAGTACCCTAATGGTGGTGCTTTTACTAATTTCATCGGTAACCGTATTTACTAGTTTTATTGGTTTATATTCAACATTTCATGTATCTTTGTGTTACTGAAATAGTTAGCCAAGTAATAAGTTTATTTCCTTCTAATTGTTCCAACAATTAATACGCTGTTTTTTATGTACGCAAAAAGAGAGTATATTCAAATTTTAATGGATCACTATGTTTTCAAGTAACTGTAAAATGAGACCTACGTAGTCATGAATTTTTAATATAACGACCTTTCCTTTTGTCGTCAAACTTTCTTTCAAAAGCTTTATTAATTTATTGTATATTTATTTCTAATTTTATTTAATAAAACTTTTACAGCACTTTTCAATGCCTTATGAAAATGTTATTTATTTGAGTCTGCATAAGCTCTTAGTTATATTTTATTAAGCTTTTTAGTAAGAATTGAGACTTTCATACATAAGACTAATATTTCATTTGGAGAATCTATGTAAGCTATGTTAGCGTTAAAAGTTAAAAAATAAATAAATCTAAAGGTACCTAGAATAAATCCTTAAAAGCTAGGTGGAGACCAACTTAATGGTGCGGGCGGAGTTAATTACCCAGGTTACCGTTAAATAGGGTAACCACGGTTTAAGCTCGGACCCATTTTTCATCAGACAACAAGTTTACTGCTAAACTAAGTTATCATAATATATAAGTTTTTTTTATTTCGCTTACATTTTTCTTTACACTTTGGGTGGACAATTGAAAAATATTGACTTTTCATTCCATTCTCTGCTATCCCTATAAATATCTTGTTACGTATGCTAGTGCGGTACCCAAAATCTCACTTTGGTGTAACCCAATCGAGGGAACGAAAGTTTATAAGTATAATATTTTTAATACAAACATTTGCCTCAAGCAACCTTTTGCCACGTTCAACGCTTCTGTGAAGTTACTGTATATTAACATTTAATACCGTCAATGCCCTACAAATTTATTTTTTATAGGAATTAAATTTATAGGCATGAAAAACCATGTAAATATATGCTTTACAACATACTTACAATATATTTTTACTAAGTCTATATAATATTTTAGTTAAAATATAAAGAATTTCAACCAAGATAGCCAAGATATACGAATTTATACCATATTCCCGACGTTTCGCCCGTGACCACGGCTGGTGCTACCCAGTCGAAACGTCAGGAATATATATACATACTTTGTATATAAATAAAGTCAGGTTTGTTACAACACTTATTACTCGAGAACTGCTAGACCGATTTTAGTGATCTTTGTTTTGTTGTCAAGAGTGAGTCGCTAGTAAGGTATATAGCCACTTACGTTTTCACGTATTTTAGTCCCTTTGTGTAATTATTATATAATTAGTAAACGCGAAAATTTTAATTTTTTTCTAATGAATTTAAAAATATAAAATTAATATGGATATTAGATAACTTTATAAAACCTACTTTGCTACTGAGCTTCTGTCCACTATATAGTCTTAATGAATTAAATGTCCAATGACAGCGACTTTGAGAAAATGACAACATTGACCGTATCACTTTAGCAAAAAATACTGTACTTTTAATGAGATTTTTTGTAAAGGAAAATCAACGATGTTGCAGGAAATGTTATTTCACACTTAGTTAATTATATACCAAGATATATTTTGAATTCCAGGGATAAAAGTCTTTTTATAAGTATATAATTAATTAAGTTTAAAGTAACATTTTCTGCAACATCGTAATTTTTTATCTATACTTAATACATAATAATATTATAAAGAGGTAAAGTTTGTGAAATTGTGAGTTTGTGACGTTGTACGGGGTAATCTCTGGATCTACTGAATCGATTTAGATGAAATTTGGTAAGAAGATAGTTTGAGACCCTGGGAAGGACATAGGATTTTTTATCCATGACTTTTTATCCCGGAAATCATCCCCTAAGAGCGTGAAAATGGGGATGAAAGTTTGTAAAGGGAATCAAGCTAGGGACGAACCTGAGCGAAGCGAGGGTGAGCCGCTAGTCGTTAATATTTTTAGATATTATTTTTTAAAAACTGGACAGTTAAAGTTTTTAAAAAAACTAGACAGTATTGACAAACCTTCATTACCATATTATCTTGTGAACGTAATAGAAAGGTAAAAATATATTTTTTCTATTTACTCAAATGCATCTAAGATGACACTGTGACCTCATGTCGGTAAATCCTGAATACGACACTTAGGTTTGTGTGGTCTATGTAGGAGATATTTCATACGGGGCTCGAATGTGCGATTTACGTAAATTAACTTTAAAAATTAAAAGAATATTTTTATTGTATAATAATTATTATCGTTTAAAAGCTGCATGTCATTTATAACGAGTTGCCTTTACCTTATACATTTCATATTCATTTTCAATTGCGTAGTATTTTTTAATTGTATTTTTATTTGGGCTGCCTCGATACGTGTTTTTACTATTAGGATACGATAAATAAACTTTATCAATATCGATACTGTTAGTGTTGGTACAGTCTATATTGAAGTTTCTTAAAGAAAGGGAAATAAATATACAGAACATATAAATATGTAATTGAAAGTAGCTGCCCAGAGTTATTGATTAAAAATTCACTTTTATATTGTTTATAGGTTCATAAATAAAAAGATGAAAATCACAACTCTATTTAGTTGACGCCTAATGAAAATATTTTCTAAGGTGACTAAGCTCATTTTATTTTACCAAAGAACTTAGATATTATTTTTTAAAATTCATATAGAATTTACATATTTTACTTGTTATAATTTACATATTTTTGTTTAACATACATATCATTGATCTACTCTTAGTTGCTTTTATTTTCTAATATTGTGAGTCTATTACAAGAAATGTCATACTAACAACCTAAGTGTATTTTTTAAAAATAACAATGGTCTTTAGTAAATATGATTACTGGGTTACTAAGCGTTCTACTAACAATTTTAAACTGTTATACAAAAGCACACTTAATTTAATTCAGTATGCTTTGCATCGTATTGCATGCACCCAACTCATTTGCCTGTAAGAGGGCGTAACAAGTTGACCCCTTTAGGTCAGAGCAGGGAACGGCGAGGAAAAAATCCAGATTGTACAATAAATCCTGATGTTAATTGGAATGTTTTATATAAATATTTACTTAGTTATAAAATTAATAGAAAAATTACGCAAAGGAAGTCATACTTAGAAAATAAACATTTTACTCAAAAAAAATCCCCTGTCATTTTACTTGCTGTGATAATTAAATTGTTTTTAAATTTAAATTAAGTTTTAAGGAAAAGTAATGTATAAAAACAGATGAACAATATATAAATAGACTAGCGACTTACCCTCGCTTCGCTCAGGAGCGTCCCTAGGTACGGTAGGTAAAAATAGTTATTACGAGTGTACCCAAAGAGATAGACATATGCTATTACGGACTTTTATAAAGACCTTTATCTATTACATTAATTTGGTGTATTTCTTAAGATTTACCGTTACTATACCGTTACCGGCGTTAGACATGTCTAAGGACGACTCGACGGTACCAGTAATTGGGTTTTCCCGTGCGAAGGAAAGATTTGCCTGTAGTAAAATGTATCCTAAATGTTTACCCTACTAATAAATCATCACTACATGAAATTTAGTTAAAATACAATTTAGTACATTTTACGTGAAATTCACACAGACATACAGACAACTTCTTTCGGGGTCTATATTCTGAACAAAACAGTCAACATAGTCATTGTTTTAAAAAAATATTTAATGTACAGATTTCGCTAGATTACTATTTTATTATTTGCATAGATAAATAATATAAAAAAGGTTTTATTTAAAAAATCCATTTTCAGATTGCGCTAGCAACAGAGAACTCTATAATACTGCAAAATTTGGACTTCGCAGCCAGCGGTAGCTACTCATGCGAAGTATCGCTTGACACACCAATCTACACAAAGGCTTCGGGCGAAAAGCAACTCACTGTTTTTCGTAAGTACAAAAAGATTAATGAAATTAAACGAACTTAGACACTGTATGCTTCTTATGATACCTTATACAGACACGTAAATATTACCTACAAGTACCTATCTTTAACCTTTAACGCCTCTGTGGTTAGTTTCCGGGAAGTCAATTGTTAACTGACATGCCGGCATATCCGCGACCGTTCAAGCCTCAACATTAACAACTATTATAACGTAAAAATAATACATAAAATCCAACAACATAATATAAATCTCAATAAATTTTAACTAACAATTGAGTAAATACATACCTGTATTGCACATTAAATCACTCATCCAGGTCTTCTATAAATGGTTGTGAACCGTACACAGAATATAAATGGTCCAAACATCACAAACCTACCTATATTTGTATGGCGAATAATAGATCAAAAATATGATATATCAATAATGAATTATAGGTTTCACCGACGATTCAAAACACAATCATTAACATCCAATTTGAATGCATGGAGAAGGCTAACCGTGTTGCGCATTGCAAATAGCTACTTCTGCCGTTAATATTGCGTAAAATAAATATGCTCCAATCGTAACTCTACAGCTTTGGTAATAAAATGCAAAAGTATAATCGGATTCTAATAGTGGAGCGGGAAAAGGCTATTTTACCAGGAATGGTTCCTAGTTCGTTAGTTTTAAATTCGTTTTCGATGAATTCCACCAAACTGGTGGGCTCTGTTCCAAATAAAACTGATATTATAATGGATACAGGTATTTCAAAAAAAGCAGTGGTAGCCTAGTGGTATCGCGCTTGCTTGGGAAACCGAGTGAAGCGGGTTCAAATCCCGGGTCTCGCACCTTTGATATTTTCACGTGCGACTCATTTCTAACATGATTACCACTTGCCTTACGGTGAAGGAAAACATCGTTAGGAAACCTGCATGTCTGGGAGAACCTAGCAAGTTTTCGAAAGACATGTGAAGTCTGCCAATCCGCACTTGACCAGCGTGGTGGACTATAGTCCTGGTCCCCCTCGTATTGAAGGGAGGCCTGTGCCCAGTAGTGGGACGTTGAAAAGGTCTGAATACAATACATACAATACAAGTATTTCAAAAGAGGCTTTATTAATAAGTTGTGTGATAGTTTGAAGAAGATGTATTACAGAGTGTGAAGGTGAAGTGAAATATTATCCAAGAGGACGGAAAAATATTATACTTACTTTAGGCTATACCTAGTAACTACTACCATTAGGTATAGCTATATTGACAGATTTTAAAATGGTATTACTTACCACTTTCTAACTGTATTTCAATAAATAGGTACTTTGAACAATTAATCTCTCTTTTGAATTCAAAATACGTTGTTTATTTCTATTCGTCCAATAATAGAACGAACAAAATGAATAATTTTATTCTTCCTACTACTGGTGATTTATGGGATTTTATTATGTTCTAATAAAAAATACCCCATTAATAACGAATCTAAAATGCAATGTACATAAAAAAAGAAAGTAAACTTAACCTGCCGAGCTTGGAAAATTGAAATTTTTAGTGAGTGCTTCTGCATCAAAATAAAACAATTCTAACGTACCGAGCAGCCGGAACTTAATATTTTAGCTATCCTAAACAACTTTATAACTTGAAAGGTTGCGATTGTTTATTTATTAGTACACTGAAAATGTTACTAATCATAAACGACAATAGTAGGGCTAATATTTTTGAAGTTATACTTCTTTTGGCACGTTTGGAAAAAAATATGAGAGTAACATTTTTACGATGCACACCGACAGAGAAAAAGCAACATGATGAACTTAGCTGCATTCCTTTTACAAACAGAGGGTTGTGACATACGGGATGAAATCTTTAGCTATTTTTGTTTTGTTACGCCAAAGAAGTATAACTTCTTACTTTCGTACATAAGCACTTCACTGTTTACATTTCCTTTTTAATAAACTACTATTTTTTGGTGGATATAATAAAAATATTAAAGGCACCCAACAACTGTACGTACTAAGTACCTACATTTAAAAAAAATAAGATTTTTAAATAATAGAATTAATGAAATCTTTCATCCAAAACATTTGTATACGTAAGCCTAATGAGTCGCAGTTAAATGGCATTCATTAGAAGTTGGGCTGTTCAACTACACAGTTAGTACCTAAACAGCAGCTAGATGTAGTTAAAACCTAAACAGCAGCTAGACTGCAAAGTCTACTCCTACTGTTTAAAGTTAAAAAATATTGTAAGGTAATTGATGCAATTTTTATTTTGTTAATTGTGGGTAGGCTGTCTGTAACAACTATACCTTCAAGACATGAAACACCTCAGTCTGTCCCGTGACCATGGATGCTGTAAGGCATTCGAAACGTCGAGGACCAAAAATCAAAATAAATCCGCGAAATAATCCGAAAAGATAGTTTTATTTAAAATCTACTCCAATAGAAATTTATGATGCAAAAATAATCCGAAATTTTCTCAACACTCAAACATTATTTAATTAGAATAAATATAATTAAATATAAAGGAGAACCCGCGGCTTCGCCCACGTTCAATCTACAAATAAAACTCTTTGGCTTTATGTTATATAGCGACTCATCCTCGCTTCGCTCGAGTTCGTTCCTATATATTTATGTAAAATTAAATCATTTGCATATTGTTTATAAAAAACTCTAAAATCGCGATTAAAAAATGGGGGGTGAGGGAGGAGGGTGAAAAATACTTTACGACCTATTCTCACACCTACCAAATATACAAAAAAATCATTAAAATCAGTCAAACCGTTTCAGATGAATGCGACCACAAACACCGTGACACGACATATTTATATATATTAGATTTTATCAAGCTCAATTGGACACTACCGTTCCAATAATTGAAGGCTCTATACTCTTCATTTAATAATTTCAGAAGTTAAATAGAGTAAGTTTGCTTTTTTTTAAAAACATATTAATAAGAATTATGTACATACATATAATTTACGGTATTTTATAGATAAATATAACGAGTTGTATTACTTTATAAGTCAAGTGACGAGGAATCAAAAATACATGAACGAATTAGAGACAAAAATATTTTGCTCAAAAAATGTTTTTATTAAACTAACAGAATCCTTAGCATAGCTATAGCAAACATAGCTATTCATTTATTTCTATTGAGTGGTGAAAATAGATATTTTAAAACATTTCTTCCCATCGAACCATTTCCTTTTAAGAAGAAAGCGTTGCAATGGTTTATTTCTTCAGGCTCATTTTTCAAGTTTGGGTCGAACAACAAATATTGTGGATTCTGTGGATTGAGAATTCTTTCTCGAGTCCGTGATACCTTCTCATTTTTTATTGATAGCTAACACATTTTTACAAAGAAAATGATTCAGCTAAAATATTTTTTTAAGTTAAGGCCGGTAATCTTTCCTTTTTGTTTGATCTTTTACACTAGCTCCCGTCCGCACTTCACACGATTTTTTTCACACAGTCTCTTGCCAGTCAATTTTTTCTGATTAAAACATTTATGAATAATACTTTCTTAGATTGACGGCGCGAATAGTCGATATTTAAAAAAATATCTTTTAGATTTTTTATGAATAACTCGACCACAGTGCTAAGTCCGTATATCAAAAATATTTTTGTGATTGTTTCTTTATTGACACTAAACCAAAATATAAAAGACTAGCGGCTTACCTTCGCTTCACTTGGGTTTGGCGCCTAGGTGCCTAACAATAGGCAATAAAGTAATTTAACGGCCATTTTTTTCGACTTACATTAGAAGTATTATGATTTCTAAGAGTAAATACTCTCTTATCGGAATAAAATATAGCCTAAAGCACTCTGCGGTAATGCAGTTTTTATTAATGAAAAAAATTTCGGCATCGGACAAACAAACTTAGAAACTTACAATCTTATCTCTTTATAATATTAGTATAGATTAGAGATAGATAATTAATGAAATGAAAATTTTGCCGAGTAAAGAAGTAATCAGAAGAAATCTACGTATAGGTACATCTATATTTTCTGTGTATCTAAATCCAAAAAAATGGGGGTTTTAGGTACCTACTCCGTGCTCGTAAGTGAAGGATAACAAAAGACAAAAGAAAAAGACAAAAGAAACCTTTTTAGATAAAAACTTTAAAAGTGACTTATACAATATGTTAAATACTTTTTAAGTTATGGGATATTTGTCTAGCTTTAACTTTGGAAAAAATAACTTTATTTTTCACATATTTTGCATTTTATTCTACTTTCAATCAACATGTGTATATAGCCATAAAAGTAAAGCTTTTAGGTGTATTTTATAAATATGTAAGTATATATGTATATTTAAACTTTTACTATATATAGTTTAAGTTTAAAGGTCGCTAGGTCGCAATAGGGGGTATTAAATAAAACTATCTTTTCGGATTTTCTCAGTAATCGTGATTTTTGCAATCTTGTGATGACTGATGCGTTCCCAGACAGACAAACAAAAATTCTAAAAACTATAGATTCGCCCTCTGTATCGATAATTATGACTATTTTAATAGGATTTTCCAAAAAAATATTTAATGTACAGCTTCGACTCGATTAGAATTTTATCATACCTACTATCAGAACCCGCGGCTTCGCTCGCGCTAAAACTACAAAAAAATATCTAAAAAAGTAGTTTTATACAAACTTTTATCTCCTATTTTACCCCCTTATAGAATAAATTTCGAAAAATGCTAAAACACGTATTTATTTCATTGTATTGAAGAGCATTAATACCAAGTTTCAAGTAATTCTGAACATAAATATTTTTTTGGATTGTATTATAACAAATTTTCCGGTGGGAATTAAATAATCTCCCGCGGTAAAATGTAGCCTATGTTACTCTGCAGCCCTCCAACTATCTCCACACAAAAAATCATGCCAATCCGTCACTCCGTTTCGACGTGAAAGAAGGACAAAGAAACAAACAAATAAACAAATAAACAAATAAACAAACAAACAAACAAACAAACAAACAAACAAACAAACACACTTTCACATTTATAATATTTATACCTATGTATAGATGTCAA